ATTTTGTGCATTAAATTGAATGAACATGGTCTGGATAGCCCACAGACATACCATAAATTTTTYTAGGACCCATAATTGRTCTCCTTTAAAGAATGAATGTGAATAYTTTTGACACCCTTTCCACTCACGGCACACTCCAAGAAAGAGAGCAGAGGTTGTCTGAGCGTGTGCATATATTATTTGACATATGCCCTGATCTGTAGATATCTAAAATGGTTGTTTATGAAGATCAACTTTGATCTTAAGAGAAAAAAGCAAAGTTTCTGTCCACCAACAGGTCTCCAAAAGTCTGAATGCCCAAATCTTTCTATTGTAAATAACCTGAATCTAAAATGGAAGGAACATATCAGGGATTATCTGCTATTGGTAATAGTGTAGATACGAACTAATTCCAATATTGGGCTTTTATCTGTTTCTAAATTTGTAYAGTGCTATGGATGATGTTATTGTTACTGTATGCTGATTTACTGGTGACAAAATGAAAGCACCAATATCATGACRGCTCCAATCTTCCCTTTYCTTTGTGATCCACGTAGATTGTATAAAACTGTGACCCTATCATATTGTAGCAGTGCCAAGTGAACAAGAGTAACAGTAAAGTAAGGAACTTGGGACGGTCAGTCCCCCCTCCAGCTTTGTCTTACAAAGGTGAACTTTGCTAATTAAATGTGTTTTATAGTTCCAAAGAAATGGAATGATTATAGAATCAAACTGTWAAAGTGTGACTTTGAACAAAGTACTAAATATTTTATTATTCAAGCATTTAGCAAGTAGAAATAATTTTGAGTATCTTAACTGACCTAAAAAAAATAAAGGTTTTGTCTGATTTAATGTCAAACAGTGAAAAGGTTAAGTGTTTTTATATGGTGTAAATATCTAGTTACAACTATCTACAGTCTTCCCACCTGTGGTTACTGAGACTGGCCATGTCCCGGACTGTTTGGGCCGTCTCTGACGCAAAATCCAGAGCTCCAGCAACAGGTTTGGTTACAGTGCCCACCAGACCTTTGCCCAGGCCTGAGAAGAAGCCACTGACACCCCCTTCTGTTTTCACACCCTCCACTGTGGAGGTGATGATGCTYGTCATGCCTCCAATGATACCTAKAAGAGGGAAAGTTAWTTATACGGATAAACTGCAWGTTCAATGGGAGACATTTTTCTGATTATCATAGATACAATTTAATTGTGGTTCAGTGAATTGTTGTTACCTCTGTGCTCTTACTAAAAGCATCAAGCAGTTCAATTATATAACAAACAAACCATGAGCTAGTCCATGAATTCCTGCAACAAGGTGCTCTCCACTGGTGGCTCCATGGTATCGGATGTATTCCCTCTCACTCTGGTGCCGGTTGTCCATAGTTTTTCCCAGCCCATCTGATAAAGTGCCTGCAAACTGAGACAAAGAAGCTAGAAATATTCACACTGTTTTGAAAAATTACCCTTCAGACATTCTTGAGTAGAAGCTCACACATACAGACCATACAGGAARTACTCAACATAGCAAAAATGATCAGTTAATTCTGATATACAGCAGGTACATACCTTKGCAGCTGAGTTGGATACACCATGAGTTACATTGCGAATAAGACCGCCCACATTGCCATACTTGATAAGCTCAGACATTCCCTCAGTGACATCATTCAAGAGGCCCATGGGATTACCCAGGAAGTCAACAGAGCCAAGGATCTGAGCAGCCTGGCTCATCAGTTCCTAAGGATGTAAAACACGGCACTTTAAAGAGCTGACCAGAAGCATTGCCAAAATCACAGCTAATGGAACAGAGTAAATATAAAGACCAATATCCAATCCATCAGTATTTGCAAACATTCTTGAACTTCTTGTCAGTGAGCAATTAAAAGAGTTTTTACATTTTAATATAATTTTAGTAGAATATTAGTCTGGCTTTAGAAAAAAAATATAGCACAATTACAGATGCATAAAGGTAGTAAATGATATTTCTTGGGCTTGATAGGAAACAACGTTGTGCATCACTCTTTATAGATTTGTCTAAATCCTTTGATATTGTGGATCATAAAATCTTAAAACATAGACATTTGCATTCTGGGCTTTCAGAAAAAGAAATTGCTTGGTTCACATATCAGTAACAGAACTCAGTGTGTTTACAGTTTTATCACTTTCAAAACAAATACACATCCTTCAGTTTCTCTACAATGTAAAGACAAAAACCCAATTTTCAAACTACTTTCACAGAACCTCTGACTCTTCCTACAAAACAGTTCAAACCCTATTCAAAACCAAACAATGTTGTCAGATCAGTCCAACAAAATGAAACACTACTGTGCAGTCAAGACAACAGAATAGAAAAAAACCCCACAATGATATTTTAACTTTGTTTTTAGCAAGTCCAGGGACAACAGATAAAATATAGCCTTCGGCTAATTCTGGAGCATTTAGCTCGCCTTACTCTTCCACTTCAGCAGTTCAGAATACTAAAACAAGTCTCAGGCTGTGCCTTTATCTTTTTCTTTATTTAACAGGGACAATCCATACAAAAACATAGAATAGATCAAGTCTGTAACTGATGCGTTGCACAAAGAGTATATGGCTACAGCTAATTTGCAAGTCCAGTCCCTGGTTGGGCATTTCTACACAAATAAGTACATAAAGTTTATGCATCCATATAGACTATAAATACATAAGCATGTCCGCCAAGAAATTCATAAAATCAACTAATACAACTTACAAATTCATGCAATAAAAATTAACAATCAAAATCATACAAGACATTAAGATACATAAAAGTTAGAATTCTAAAACAAACAATTTGAATTACCTTAGAACATCTAAAATTAACCATACACATCCTAGGTACCTCTCCATCCTCCCACATTAGCCAACACATGGTGAAAATTATCACTACAACACTAACCCCTAATTTACACTACTTGCGTTCCGTCTCCGCTGCGCTGCGCTGGTCACAGCTGTGCGTTTCAAGTCCAGTTTACACCACCTCCGCTCCGGTCCGACAGACGTGCAGGAAGCAGATCGTGCGATAAATTCAGTGATAAGTGTGGAAGTCACAACAAAAAATAATTAATTCTGTGAAAGACGAACTCCAAACACAGCTAAAAACAACGATATAAAAGCTTTTGGTATCTACCTGTATGTTGAAACTGTCTCGCTGTCGGCTTTCTGAAACTTCTGATTTCAAAATAAAATCCATGTGTATCGTGTGTGTACACATATGCTTCATGCTACGTTTCCATCTGCTTCCCAAACAGAACGATACGTTCTGACAGCATTTGTGTAGAAATATATCCATATATTTATTAATATAGCCGCAATTTTGACATTATTCCGACAAATTATCCAGCCTAAAAGTGTCTTATTTTGAAAATACGGATGTTGTGCTCGTTTCTTTTCCTGTTGGTGTGACGTAATCTTTAAAAATTGACTCCGGTGCAGCTCCGGCATCCATCAAAAATAGGATCTGTTCTAATTTTGACGGATGGCCGTCCGCCCTGCGCAGCCAGTGTAAACACTCTCATTGACTATAATGGGTGTGTATTTTCTGCGGAGGTCAGCGGAGCGGAGAGGGAACGCAAGTAGTGTAAATTAGGGGTTACTCACCAACACGAACAGTCCTATACAGACGGTTGTCATCATTAAATCTAAATACTAAAAATGATCACAGCTTTGGTTTTCCTGCCTAAAGCCAGGGAATATAAATGTGGTTTTATACAGTWTAAAAGTGGACAGCGAACAGGCTCGTCTGACAGGAAGTGGAAGACTGTTCCATAATCTGGGAGCAGCAACACAGAAAGATCTGTCTCCACTCAGCTTACATTTGGACCTCGGCACCTCCAGGAGCAGCTGATCAGCTGACCTGAGGCACCGAGTGGGAGAGTGTGGGTGAACTGGTGGGGCAAGACCATTCAGACTCTTAAAAACAAATAAAAGAACCTTAAAATKAATTCTAGAATGAACAGGTAGCCAGTGGAGGGAGGCAGGAGTGGGGGTGATRTGCTCCCTCTTACAAACTCCAGTTAGCAGGAGAGCTGCAGCGTTTTGAGCCAGCTGGAGGCGTGGAACAGGTACTTCCAAACTTTCTAAATAGCACTGTGTGTACTCTGACCTCTCTGAAGTGCTTGAGAATGTCGTTTAGGATGATCTCCTGGGTCTCGTAGGGGTGAACTCTGGTGAACGGATACATGTTGATGATAGCATCTTCAAAGCGAATCAGAGGAAAGCCCAGAGTTCCTTTCAGTGCCTACAGCAACAAACACAGATTTATACAAGAAAGCAGGAAAACTGACACTTGTGCCCTTAGAAAATATATATTAATTTTTTATTACAATCATTTATCATCATAAAGATAATCTCTAAGACATCAGACTCCTCTCCACACACCAMCCTTATACACTGAAGCTCACAATCATGAAGTGCCTTGGTATCAGATCTATTGGACATAATTTGTACCAACTATCTGCTGTCTTTCAGTTCTGTATTTCTAAAGTAAACTGAGTGCTGATGCAAACATTCTCATAAAATTCAACAGATATAGAACATTTTTTATGTCAAATAGTAGATGCCCACAGTGTGCTGCCCCTAATAATTTTCAGAGATTTCAGAGATTATTGTGGGTTATGACTCCTAACCTTTGGATGTGGAGCACTATCTTTTGAAATGTCATGTATGTTTTGTTTTCTAAAAGGAAAACATCAATAACTGAATTTTATGCAGCCATCTTTGATACTCCTCATTGTAAGA